ACCCCTCTGACACCATAACGTTCCAGTTTTCTTATTAATATATCAGGATCTATAGAGTCAAATGCCTTTGCCAAGTCTATGAATAACCCAGCCACATGTTGCTTTTTGTTTGTGGTATTTGTGATGTATTCTATTGAATCTAATAGATGATGTTGATCTGCTTGATCTGAATCCGTACTGACTCTCAGTGAGTCGTTTATGTTTATCTGTAAATTTTACCAGTCGGTTTTTAAACAGTTTTTCAAGAACTTTTGAGAATTGAGGCAGTAAAGCGATCGGCCTGTAGTTTGTGAAATGGTGTTTGTTTCCAGATTTGTATAGAGGTATAACTTTTGCTATTTTCATTCTGTCTGGAAATCGACCAGTTTGAAATGATAAATTACAGATGTATGTAAATGGTTTCATAACAGCCTCTATGACTCTTTTAACCACTATCATATCAATATCATGATGATGATGATGATTGATAAAGTAAATCTGTTGGGTATCTTTGTTGGCCTTCAGACAACAATTCTGACGGCTAAAGAACCAAACGGGACAAACAAACAACCAACCAACCAACCAACCAACCAACCAACCAACCAACCAACCAACCAACCAACCAACCAACCAAACAAACAAACAAACAAACAAACAAAGGAAATACAAAAACCTTCTGTAATTGTTAAGTTAGCTTACATGTGTAAAGTGATGACATCACATCACAACAATATATCAGTTATCACATGCAACACCGTGGAGTATGTAGCAGCAACCTTCGGTCCTTCTTTGCCGTTTCTGCAGGACGTAAAGTTTCTGACTCGTGCTCTTGTTAAGTAGCTTGGATGCCTTCCGGTAGCAAAAATGAGGCGAAGGAAAAAAGGGGCAAAACATTTATTTTCCATACAAATCGAAAGGTACAAAACAAATGCCTCTGGTGGGAGCTCCGTTTACATTCCCTCTATGTTACAACAAAAAATAACATTAAAATGGCGACGGTCAGAAAACTGTTGCTCCACGTCCTGCTCGCTTACCTAACCTTTTACCCATACCCCTCCGCATGCGGGCCAAATACACACCCCCTTTACGACATCTATCAACACTTTACAACAACAACAGACTAACAAAGCAGGATTAATTTATGGAGCACAGCCGATTACATTATAACATAAAATGATCAAGATTATAATAGAAACTTAAAGATCATGACCAATACTTAAATATGGCATGATGTAACTGAGTAAAATATTGGCCTGGACTTGGCTCCAACAGAGTTCATTGATCGAGGGACTCGCGTCTAATTAGGCTTTAATGTTTTGTGTTTGTGCAGATGTAGACGAGTGTGCAGAGGACTCAGACGACTGCCACATCGACGCCCTCTGCCAGAACACAGCCAAATCCTACAACTGCATCTGCAAGCCTGGATACAAGGGAGATGGAAAACAGTGCGAGGGTGAGTGCTACGTTTCCTTCGGTTCATCCCTGTGAACGCACAATCTGGGATTTACGCAGGAATGTACCAGTTGTTATAGAATATGAACGCAAAGCACATCTTCATGTTACTTCTGTTTGAGAGTGAGAGCACATCCAGAAGCAAACAGCTTTAAGTCCTTAGTGTGCTTTAAACAAAATGCCTGGCAGATTTAGCAATAGCCTGAAACAACCTCTTCATGGAGACGTTGATAGTGACAGTAACACGTCTTTGAAGGAAGAGTAAAACACTTGGTTTGAATAATGGCCGCTATTTGAAAGGTGTGGGGGTGGTGGTGCATGGTGGTTTCTAATATGAGCATCTGACAGGCGGTGCTAATTGAACTATGACTCTTATACAAAGGTGTACAATGCAGCCAGTCTGGTGTTTCTCACACAGAGACTCACTTGGGCAGGTTGTTAGGTTATTAACAGTTCTTCGAGCAAATTTGGTGATTCATTTTACTTTTTTGTTTCAAGAATGACAATTTTCCATTTTATAACTTTATAACTTTATTAGTCAGTTACTGCTAACTGGGTAGCAGGTTTCCATTGTGAAAGTGTTTGAGGCTATTCCACTGATGTGTCAAAGACGTTACCTTGCTGTAAGATGTATAACAACTCCATTGTCTTCTGCTTTGGAGATTTCTGAGAGCAGAAGTGTCGCACTAACCTGCAGCAGGAGGGGAACAGGCTCATTCTACGCTGATCACAGAGCGACTATGACAGTGATGAAAGTGTACAAACGTTTCTAATAGCACAGCAAATCTTTGAAAGTCTTTGAAAGGAGACTAAAATACTTGGTTGCTTCTGACTTTCTGACTGCTGTGTCAGAGTATACTCTCCTCACATGAAGGATAGATGATGTTCATTATTGTGAATTTGCTTAGATGTGAGTGCATGAACTGGGCCTCTGATGCAACCGCAGGATGGACAGCTGTTTCACAACCCCCACACCCTACACCCACAGCGTTCTCCTAATTAACGGAGAGAAAGCGGACTTATTGAGGGTGTCGGGGTGAGAAGGGGGCAGCACCCGGCTGTGCGCTCACACCTCCACTCCTGCCTGAAAGCACACCACAGCTGGAGCCACAGCCGACTGCACAGATACACTTTCTCCATCTCTCACCCTCTGTTAGGTCTCGTCTGTCACACATTTATTTAAACGTGCTCACACGACCACTGTGATCATCTAATCTTTCCCACACTGGTTTAATTTAAGCCAAGTATATTTATATTTCCTGTTTTATTGCCTCAGATCTGGTTATAATAAATGACATTTTCAGCTGACTATGAAATAGTCATCAGTCCCAACAGCAATGATAATTCACCAATCAGAACTAGAGTCTAGGAACATGACAGGATCGCTGTGGCTGATCTGTAACTCACTGAGTTGGATAGCCACTTTAACTAGATTATGTAAACCAGGTCGAATCAGCTTGTTCAAGCTAAATTGCAGCTTTTTCATTCAGGTCCTCAGTGTGGGAATTTTTCATGGGTTTTCAATAGGCAGTTATTCTGTAACATCGGTCCTGTCTTTGTGTTTTCACTTTTCTTTTTTAACTTCTCTTGTTAGACGCCTGCTAGCTCTGTGAGCTACTAGCTAGCTAACATTATGTGAAATTCCAGTGAGAAGTGACTGACTGAAAAAAATAATGCATCCAAGGAATGCTGTGGAAAAACTCTCTAATCTCTAGTTGGAGAAACTCTTTGTCTTTCTGGCTTTGTGGGGTTTTTCAAACTTCAAATAGAAACTTTAATATTTAGTTCAAATCCAACAGTTCCCAGACAGGATGTGATGCAGTACATATAGAGGAGAATTATTATTCAATTCAATTCAATTCAATTTTATTTATATAGCGCCAAATCACAACAAAAGTCGCCTCAAGGCGCTTCATAGATACAGAGAAAAACCCAACAATCATATGACCCCCTATGAGCAGCACTTTGGCGACAGTGGGAAGGAAAAACTCCCTTTTAACAGGAAGAAACCTCCGGCAGAACCAGGCTCAGGGAGGGGCGGGGCCATCTGCTGTGATTGGTTGGGGTGAGAGAAGGAAGACAGGATAAAGACATGCTGTGGAAGAGAGACAGAGGTTAATAACAGATATGATTCAATGCAGAGAGGTCTGTTAATACATAGTGAGTGAGAAAGGTGACTGGAAAGGAAAAACCCAATGCATCATGGGAAAGATTAATAATAATCTTGTGGATTATTATTAATCCACAAGAGCTAGCTTAACTTTTTAAAATAAAATGCTACAACATCTACTGTCAGTAGAACATCTTCCACTTTTTACAGTGAGTTTAAAGCACAACAACAACAACTTGCCGTTTGATCTTTCCATGAAGTCTTTCTCTACTCTATCTCTATCAGCATGTGCTCTTATCTCACAATGATGTCATTTTTGGATGAACTGACCCTTTAGACATGCATAATTACTGACTGTGCACACTGATGTCTCAGAATACACGCGGATCTGTCTCTGTTTCTGTTTGCATAGACAGGGTGATTTATTACACTTGACACTCAGTCGTTCTAAACGATGTGTGCTGAATGACAACAGCTTCTCTCTCTCCTCTGAGAGCAGACGGCAGGAGGGTCCAGACTTTTCAAGGTTATGATTTCCCTCCATAACGTTGCTGTCTGAGCAGATCAGCCACTTCTTATTCCATCACTTTGCACAGATACCTTTGCATCAGTGTGAGCATGTTTGTGACGTGCACTATGGATGGACCTTGGATGTCAGCTGGGACATCACTGTGTTCGTGTCATGCACTGTCCTCCCTCATGACTGTACATTCATTCTTTTAAACTCTTCACTGGCAATGAAGCAACAGCTCATGACAGAGACGCCAAATGAAGACAGATGGTGGATGGGAGTTGACCCTTGACCCTGGTGATTAGATATGGTCGCTGTAATTGGCCGGCTGTGTTTTCCATCAACAGGCATTACAGCCCACTTTGCTGGCCAGCGCCATTAGTGGCTCTGCTATTCCTGGAAGCACCTGGAAGCAGCAGAGTGTCTGTGCTTGCTCTCCGCAGCTCTAAGGTCATCTCTGTGTCTTTATTATCGGCATCACTCCATATCAGCGAATGATCACTCAGCAGCGTAGTGAAACATCATGAAAAACTGTGTCAAAAGAAGTGCTTCTAAGAGACATTTTACTCCCCATTTCTTAAAAGTGCATTGACCGAGAAATGTATGATAGTCCAGACTGCTGCTCTCATTTGTCATCTTTCCCAGGTCCAGAGCACCTGTGTTTCAGAGACCTCCAGATGCACTCTTCATGCTTTGTAAATAGACACGTCTTAAGAACTAAATATATTGTGGCCTGTACTGAAAGTAAGGGCGATGCTGTAGAAGCACTGGCACAAAAGACAGCTATGTGTATAGTGTCAAGTCTGATTTCTGAAGACTTCCATCTTTACTTTTTGAAACTGGAGGTAATGGTCATGGGGTGGATCTGACCAAATCAAACTAATAAACATCTTAGCACAACGTAAGGAGGATGTGGGGTGATGGGGGGCATTATGGTGACATCAGCGTTGGCATCTGGGAAGTGAAAGCAAAACATTGGGGGTTATAATGACTGCATGCAACCACAGTGTCAGTGTTTGCCCAAGTGATTTTATTAGTATGTTTTCTGTGCATAACCACCGTTTTCTGATGTTAACTCCAGTAAACAGGTTGAAATATAATTGGCAACTACTGAAATGTTGCTGTGATGCAGCTTTGTTGTTGCAGAGTGACTGAGCTGTTTAACACGTCTGCTTTGCTGGTCAACACCTCTCCATTGCATTGAATTACTACAGACAGTAAGTCCAGTGTAAAGAAAATTAAGCCAAATTCTGGGTTCCTGAAGTTGTTCATTAGCTGTTATAGCAGTGTGCTATGTCTGCATCAGGGAGTGCTTTCATTATCCACTTCATGTCTTGATATACTATAAGACAAAACTGAGCAAAGTCACCAGCAGCATTTTGTAACTCACACAGAAAACACTGAAGAACCTGAAACTTTAACCTGTAAGCAACGAGCTCTCATCCTGTACAGCGGCGTTTTGGTTTTTCTTGCCCCTTTGGAGGGAAGCATCGTTCTCCTTTAGCTTAGTGTGAATCATATGCTACTGGCTTTACAGTAGTTTAACTCTATAATGCCCTTTGTATCATATATGATAGACCTCTATCTCATCAACATGATCAATACTTGCCATAATTTCAAAATGTCATGGACAAAACCTTTTTGCCTAAAATTAACGTTGCTAAGAAAAGTTGCCAAAAATGCCCAAAGTATCAAATGTGATATAAAAATATATAATAAATATAATAAATATGTCATACACAACATGATATAGCGAAAAAATGTTTGTGGGTCTTGTTGTAATGGTCAATAAACATCAGAATGTTCTGGATATGTTTCGATGGGTTGGATCTTACAGGGAGATTTTACACTGATGCACTCTGAACACCAAACGATGGCGTGAGATCGTAGTGAAAGAATTGTGTTTTGTTCCTGTAGCAGAGTTCAAGATGCTTGTAGAACAAATGCCGAGGTACGCTGAAGCTTTTCTGGCAGCATGTGGTAGCCCAGCATGTTTGTGTCTATAAACTTCATGACAGTGGATCGATGTGAGGGGCCGTGGAGTTCTCCGAGCATTCGCTTGGTATGTCTCTCCTGACAGTGTGGCTCCCCATGGCATCGTCTTTTAAAGTAAACTATCAGCTTTACTTTTCTGGACATGAGTAAGAAGCAACATGTCACATTTGCATTAGATGGTAGAGAACATTTTGTGATTTCTCTACCATCAAAACACCTGGATGAGGATCTGACATCTGTGCTGTGAACACGTCGAGTTTGACCTCACGTCCAAAGTTCTTGAGAACTTTGATTTTTCTTGATAAAAAAACATCTGCAGATATTTTACTGGAAAATTCTTTAGTTTTGAGAAAGTTTGTCAAGCAATAAACAAGCGTCCAAAGAA